CGATATGTGGGTAAGTTAGCGTGGCAGGGAGAGATTTGCATAAATTTATACTTGCTAAAATTTAGCGTTATATGCCACGTTTTGCACCAAAAAGGGATAGGGTTAATATCAAATTGGAGTACATGCAATCGTTCGTTTTGCGAAAAATCTTTTAAATTACCTATTTAAGGAGTGGTAATGCCTTCGTTGTTACAAATTATCGTCCACTGTTTTACTTTCGGGTTTTTCAAGTTTTTTAGCTTGTTATACGTTCGCAAACACTTCTTTATTTTCGTCAGAAAATCGTAAGTGGCCGGTATGTGGAGTCTGTATTGTGTACTTTTTTAGATTATGCTGCGCCTTTTTTAAATAGAAGACAGGTATATACAATATATTTTCATATGTCGAAAGTGTACGAACGAATTAGTCATGAATTGTCATTAGGTCCTAAAGTTTCGAACACCGTTGGAGTCGCTAACAGTCTCTGCGACTTATTTCGTTCGACATCGGGTGTTACTCAGGGATAAATAATGAGCCCCTCTTGATATGGATATCTATTAGTAATATAATGTATTTTGTAAATAATTATAACCTGCTACTTTCTGCTGATGATATTACGTTATTCATGCCCCTTCGAACTGTTGTAGACTGTAATATACTACAAAATGGTGTCTTTAATTCACTGATGGTGTAAGCTAAATCAACTGTCTCTCAACCCCCAAACAACAAAGGTGTTACCATTGGCCGACGGCATACTGTTGTTTGTTTTGCATATAATCGTGACGGGGAATACCAATAGAGCAGGGATCAATGATAAAAGATATTGGCGTCTCTGTTGATAGTGGTTAAGCTTTTAGAAACCAGGTATCTTTTATCGTGTGCAATGCCATTAAAATACTATGAATAGTATCTCGATTGATTAAGGATTTATAAAACCACACTCCTTTATGTGCATTTCAATTATTTAGCGAGATCACTACTTTAATTTCCGTCTGTCACATGAAATTCGATATCTAAAGCGCAGGCTATGAACATACAAAACATTCAGAAAATTGTTATTCAAATTGTGTGTGATAGATTCTTTGAGCGCCACTTTATAACTGTTAATATATATTTCAAAAAAAATTCACTTCAACTTTTGTCTCCCAGAAGAACTGTTCCTGACTTTGTATTTCTGCATGAACTTATGAATGGGGCAATTATTGTGCACAGCCTCTGGGGAAAGTTAATCTTTATGTTCCTTTGCGTGTAACGAGACATTGTGTCAGTTTTTATGTGCACTCGCGGTGTAAAACGTCACCGTTTTCTCGGTTCCTGCCAAGGTATAAAACCACCACTTAACCACCCTGGACATTTCTTTATCAGTCGCATTGTCCCACAGCCAATTGAATGAGCACTTATCTGCGTCTTAATTCGTTTTATTTGTTGCTTGGTAAAACTCCCTTCTTTTTTAATGATTTTTTTTTTCTATTACCTGTTGACTATGGTTCGAAAGTGAAGACCATCTTGGTTGTTTTTGGACACCTAAATAAGAATAATATTATAATATTATTATATTTTTTATCCAGTCGCATAATGTGTGATAAGAAATCAGCTTATTTCTCTTCTGACGCGTCTCTCATGTCACCGCAACGTCTAAAAAATAGACTCATCAGTTTTCGCAGGAGAGCTGAGTGCTTCAGCTACATGAATAATTGGTTTTCTTAATAGCGTAGCACGTTCAGAAAAAATATGGCATTCGATTATTTTCAGCGGTATGCTGTGAGGTCATATTTTTCGAAGCTATTCAGCATTTCACTTATTCTAGTACAGGAATGACTACTCTGGACATAGCTCAAGAAGCCGACGTTGAATATACCAATCATACTTATTTAGTTTATATATATTACCATACTGCAAATTGAGAGAGCAAAGCAGGTGAGTAGGCATCTTTAAAAGAACAAGCACAGCTAAGCGTAAAAAAGTTATAAAAAAACACAGATATTTTGATTATTTACAGCATTCGTGGTTGCCCAGTTGGAATGATCGACATATCAAACCAATATTTTAACCGAGTCAGTATTAAATCGATACGAAGCAAAAAAAAATATTTTGTTTAGTTGGGTTTTTGAAGTGTGTGTATGCAACATATTTGTGAACGTCAATAAAGTAATAACCTTGTAGAAGTTTATCTTTATTGTGCTCAACCTTATACTGGTACTTATGTGCAGAAGGTTCCCATCGGACTTTATTACGGAGACAAAGTCTGTGGATCGATAGCGATCAAAGAAAAATCGGAGAGCTTTACTTTGTGTGTTCTATTTCTTAAATATTTTGTTCTGTGAATAGTTCTGAATCTGGGCTTCTATATCCAATGTTTGGTAATATCAGTCACTTATATGGTGTTATGTGCTGGTCTGGAAAATCTAACTGCCGTCTACGTGCCCAAACCTTGCTTTAGCAATTTATTGGAAACATTTTGATGTGTAAATTCCAGATTAGATTTGATTAACGAAAAACGCCTGTAGTATATTCCAGGTTAAGAACGTAGGGCGGGGGAAAGGCAGGGGGTTGAGAAGGAAGCGGACGCAACGCTGGTGATAAGGGGAGGTTTTCTCCTCCCCGCGGTCAGCGTTGCGTCCCTTTCCTCCTCCCCCACCTTTCTCTTTCTCGGCCTAGCTTCTCGAATCGTCCCATACTATAGGTACTTGTACTCCTGTCAATGTTCTAACGGCCTCCCACAGCAATATAGGTTAACAGTGCTGGTACTTTGTTTCGAGCTGTGTTAACATATACACAAGTATTTTTGTTGATTTCCGTTTGCCGTTCGTCCCACCAGCTTGTCAACGGCTGTACACGATAATTTATTTTCTTTCGAGCATCTTATGTCTATATCTCTAAAGATGTATTTCCGTTGTAGTGGAGCCAAACGAGTCACGGCCATTAAAAAAGTAATAGAACTTAAAACACAGACAAGGGCGAAGACGAAGTGGACAAGCACAGAGCGCCTTGTGTTTGTTCACTTCGTCTTCATTCTTGTTCGTGTTTTCGGAGCTATTATTTTTTTAAAAATTATGAGCCAACTAGCCCTCCTACTCACTTTGGTGTCGGAGTCACACAGGCTGCAAAATACACTGGGCTCACTGTGCCTAAACTAAAAGAATTCGAGCTGCGCAGCGCCGGGCTATCACCAGGTCGAGCTATCGCGTGACCTTCGAGCCAGGCAATAAAAATAGAAACGAGGCTGTTTATCTAAGCAATGTTCCGGACATTTAATGTTTCTCTGGTACTTTCGAAAACACCACCGACAGCACCATCGGGAAAAAGTTTCGATTTTGATATCCCCTAAACATCTTTCAGTCATGTTACTAATATAGAAGATTAGTAGCAGCGGCCCAAGAACATATCATTGAGGCAGACCTGAAGGAACGAGTAACTTTTCATACATCTTCATATTCAACTGCACAAACCGTTTTACACAACCAGATAAAAATGGGCAGGTAAGCAAAATGTACTATAAAAATATTCGGATCATTTCAAGAGAAAAGAGCACTTTCGGTATGCATTTTGCGTATACTTATTGTTGGGGTCACTTTACACATGCGAAGAGTATAAAGTGTACACCGCATGTAAGCTATTTGGCAAGCGACGAGACAAACGACGGTGACCCCCTTCGCTATCGCTCGGTCAATCGCGTGACAAGGCAAACCACATGAAAGCAACGGGAGCAAGTGACCAAGGCGATGAACGACGTTTGCTAGAAATCCAGAAATTGAGCCCCGCGACAAGCGACAGTGAGAAATCTCCGTGCCTCATCGCTGAATCTCGTCGCTCGTCTTGTCGCTCGCTAAATCGCTTACGTGTGGCTCAGCCTTAAAGGCAAATAAAGTCGAAACAAAAAACCGAACAGTCAAAATATTTAAGATTAAAATGCAAAATAAATTCAAACCTGCCTTTCGTCTATACATTTCCACGGTGCCCCCCCCCCCCCCCCCCCCCCCGCCTTATTAACTTACAAAGCCTGGGTTGACAAAAAAGCACTAGACCAGGCGTTTTCCAAAGCTGTTGTGCAAATACTTACTTTTCGCAAAGCAGCAACTTTTGATAACATAAATGCATTTGCGTTTCTCCAGTCTTAATCGATAATATAACATCTGTGTGACTGTGATACTAAATAATACATGCCTAATATTTTATATTATCTCTATCCGCATAAATGTCGTCGAAAAGAATATAAAACATGTGAATGATAAATACCTGAATAGTAGTGCTCTATCGCATATTGAAACTAAAACAAGTGTGCCTGCAAGCTCATTCATTACTGGCATTTTAACCCATGAGCTAGGGAAAACGAGACGGAAAGCACAAAGCTCCAAGCACTTAATCGAACATTCAGTCATTTATAGGACCGGGCGTCGTTTAAAAGTTCGACCAGATTAATCACCACCCTTCATTCAGATAATTTTTGTCGATGAATTGTTTTCTTTATCGCCGTGAATATTGATGAAAGAAAAAAAAAAAATTACATTTTCGCTTAACCTTTGCTGAATATGCGATAAACAGTGCAATGAACGATTGTGGACTTTAGATCAACTTTGACGTGTTGTTGGAAAGAGTAAAATGGCAACTATACTCACAGCTTAATTCAGCCGCAAATTCAGAGGTTGGTTGATATTTCTCCGGCAATAGCGAGCTCCTTTGGTTGTCCACACTCGCGCGGCGTTGAAGTGCCTGGGTCACGTTAGCCTTCTCCCCTTGATCAAAGTTACGAATCTCGCCTGTACCATTTACTTTAGTACAAAACTTCACGTAAAGTTTGCCTTGCTACTGGTGCACTTGACCACGTCCGCGTATTGAAAGCGTTCAATTTATACTTCTGATGTTTTTCATAACTTAACCGATTAACCAGTTCGAAAAGAATATTCGGGATTAGAACAATATTTCATTAATCGGTAGGTTAATCTATAAAGTTCCACGCCTTAGTAATTTGTTGTAACCATCTAGGGTTCATTTTTTGTTTTTTAATTCTCCGCATTTTGCAGAAACAAGGAACATTCAACTGGAAGAGCGATTGAATGGACGTAATTTAAGTAAGTTAATTTTATGAAGTAATTAAATGACTGTCTAGGACTTAGAATGTTGCACACTTAATGGAGTCTAAATGTGCTTGAGGTATGTTAAATTAGAGTCTATCATTATCTAAAAAAGCTAAACAATGTAAAGCAATTTTTATCATTGATATATTCCTATATATCTGCATGCCGCTGTCCCATTAAAGAGCTTAAACGAAGACTTGATTTTTGTTTTAATTTCGCGTACACTACTTACCATGCTACCAACTTCGGAATGAAGGTTTTATACAAATGTGTGTTGCTTCAAATTCAATAGTATTATGCAGTTTCCGTCGAAAGGAGGGTCATTCAAAGAAGAATTTTGCATAAAAATAAACTTTATACAAATGTTTCGAGAAAAAAACAACTTAATACAAATATTACATATCTTGTATACTCGGAGTCTTGAAACGTAGATGTCCCCAATATTATTTTCCGCTTCTACGTATTCAAAAACAAGTACATCGAAATTACTGGATGTATTTACTAGGCAACTGAGCAAAAGAATCTATATCCTCGATAGAAATATTAAGAAAAGCACCTAAAACTGCTACCAGCTTTCTGAGCACTTAGTTTACACATTTATCTTTCTAAACTTAGTGATGCAATTTAACATATTTTAGTCTTCCAGGAATCGAAGCAGCGCCAAGCGTAGTAGAAAATAAAATTGCGCTGTGCCTTTATTTTTTTTTTTTTTCACAGACTGACTTACTTCAAACTGACTTGTCTGGCCCAATTTCACTATCTGCAGTTTGCACTTTAGGAGTGACAATCGTGTAGACAACATTTGGTAGAACTAATTTCAAAGTTTACTTTTACAGGCACCCCGAAACAAGTACAAGTTCCAGACCCATTTTTGATTGAAACACTGATTGTCGTCGACAAGCGCTTTTACAAAAACTTTGATAACGATACACAGCTTGTAACATATCTCGCGACTTCTTTGGCAACGGTATGTACTCTGCGTTTCGATTTATTTTCCAATTTTTTTATTAAGATTATTATTTTTCAATTTGCGTTCCCATTCAAGTTTTCTACCTGAGAGTCAATGTATGATTCAGCACAATGAGCATAGTGCTACCAAATCAGCTTCCCGGTGTCGTTCAGTTTGGGGCGGAACAAAAGTCATGCGGGGTTCCCATATTATGTCAATTAAGGTATATTCGAATGAACAACCATCCGCTCTATTCTTGCAATGTTGAAGTCCGTATGCCGGTGGCACCCTAGAGAGGACTTTGTCTAATTCGGCAAGCACTGAATTGGGTCAGCTCACATTGCCGCAGATTGTACACCGCTTACCAATGTTTAGGCGACGACGGCATTAATGTTTTCTTTTTTTCGCTCACTTTACTCAGGTATGATATTGTGAACCCTAGTTTATATTGATCAGTTCAATTGCTATAGCTCTATGCATCACTATGGTAGTCTTGATGGGTATTTTTTCAGTGAAACCGAAAAGGGTAATGACTTGTCAGCACAAAAATGTTGTGATATTCTCATTGCCCATATGACAGCGAAAGTTTTTAAAACTTTATTCATTATAATTGAGTTATAAAAACATAGACTATAGATTGTGTCTGGCACATTATTTTTTTATTTTTTATCTTTCTACTGCCAGTACTGGGAACATTTATAGGCGCTTAAAACGCGAGAGTCTAGTTCTAAACAAACCGCCCACGTCTCCGACCTCTGCAGGAGTTTGAACGATGAATCGCTTTGGAAGAAAAGCAAGGTACTCTGAGGACTCAGTTATTGACTAGAAACAATAAATGTGAACACTTTGATTTACTAACCTACCGGAGTTAGTGAAAGTTAAACCGAAAAGGGCAAACATGTTTATCGATTCCTTGGTGCCTTACCAAGCGAAACACACTGTGTATACTAGGTATGCGGGTCCAGTGGTCGCTTGTGACTGATATTTCAAGATTAACAAAAAGATTTATGCTAAATAAATATTTCTGTTCAGTTTTTAAATAAAATTATAGAGTTATACCTGTCCTTTTTGTTTAAGGCGAACATCAGATATTCAAACGCAAGCAACCCAAAAGTGCAACTGCTCATCGTAAATATAACTAAGGACCCGGTGGGTTTCATTTGTTGGCCATATTTCTTACATTTTAAAGCAGTGTGAGTGAAATCTAATTGTGCCTTCTATTATTTTTAGGGGTCAGATTTTCTGCGATATATTTCAGTTTCAAATCCATCCAAGGTCTATGCCGCAGTTCGCACAACATTACCCCAGTTTGCTAAGAAATACAGGAGCGCCTTGTGCGACGCAGCGATGCTCGTCACAGGGTAAGAAAACAAGTAAAATATATGAGTATGTTAACGAAACATATACGAACATATGCAGTAGTGAACAAAAAGTTATGACATTTCGGTTTTATGTGGGTAACGTTTCTTCGAACTGTGATGCAGATGTAAAAATTCTAATGGAACACTACATTAACGTACTTATAGAGTGTAGACTGATGCTTACTTAAATATGAATCAATCAACTAGACGTCGAGAAATAGTTCTTTAAAGAAAAACGAAATGTCATATCTTTTTGTTCACTACTGTATATGAACTAGGGTGACGATGCGGGCTAGTTGCTTTATGCTGAGTAGATTCGACACAGCCCACAAGAAACGAAGACGAAGGGGGAAGCAGAATAAGCGCTTAGTTTCAGCTGAAGATTATATTCAAAATAAACACCGAATTAAACAACAGCATTCCACACCATCATGACCAATTTAGCATATGTCCAGATGACAGATCTCTTTGCTATGTAGGACCGATGTTTGGCTTACATATTGCCCAGTCCCGCAATTTTTGATCGTGTGGGTCTCTAAAATTTTCCTTGTCATCGCACCTCCCCTCTCCCCCCATCCCAGCAATCCTGACGTGATGGAAGTCGGGCTGGCATCCACAAACTGTGCAATAAAGCGGCAAATGAAGCTGCTGCTTCATTGTGCAGATTGTGGATGCCAACCCAGCTTCCATCACGTCACGATGGCTCCAACGGGGGGAGATCAGATGACTAGGAAACCCTTAGAGGCTTACACGATCAAAAAAGAAGGAACTGAGCGGTGTGTAAGCCGAGCATCGGTCCTTCTACATAGCAAAGAGATATGTTATGTGGACACGTGGTGAGTTGGCCATGATGGTGTGGAATGCTGTTTTTTTACTCCGGAGTTTATTTGCAATAAAAAATTTAACTGCGTCTCCTGTGTTACCCGTTCTACTTAGTCTTCGATTGTTGTGCGCCGTGCGGAGTCCACTAAACATAATATGATATAGGAACTATATTCTTCGTCATTTGAATTACTTCTAGAATTATATTGTACAAAACATATAAGAAATAATTATGATTCTTATGGAACATGAGTTGGCCGCAGCGAAATATAGTCTCACACGGTTTCTAGTAAAAGAAAACTAGATAATTAAACTATTATCAAAGCAAGAAAGAAACTATGCGGATTATTTGAATGTAAGTGAAATCTAGCGGGGAGAAAAATAAATATTGTGTATAAGTTTAATGCATGCGAGTTTGCTTATTTCTTGGCCTGAGTAGTGCCGGCCGCTAGCTTGACTATTGATGATCACATCGCAACTAATTATATTTATATTGCCATAAAAGTATAAAACAAGTTCAAACATTTTTAAAATAGTTGAAAATGTTTAGACCTTTATTTACTTTAACATGAAATGTTAACTTAGAGATGCGCAAACAACAAACTAATGGGCAGCGAATATATAAAATATTTGACAATATAAATTGCATTTTGAATACACGGAAAGCGTAACAGGTCCATAGATTGTAACGTTTTATCAGCTTAGATTGGAACACTGGTATCTTTTTACATGTTCATACTAAAGCTGCACTTTGAAGCACAAACTTGCAAACAAGTCTTTGAGCCCCCACAAATACCAAGGTCAAATACAAATAAGTAGCCATATATATATATATACATATATAAAACTGAGAAGAAAAAACCCTTGGTGTAAACAGCAGCAACAGACGACTGAATCTTCGACGTTTCGGCCGGAGTCCGGCCTTCGTCAGGAAGAACTTTTACAGATGAACGCGGGTGGTATTTATACATTGCTACGGTCGAGTCCAAATTTCGGCGGGGTGACGGTTGGAGCTTTCGTGAGAGAGAAGCGTAGGGCAGTTCTTATCCGGGTGAAGAAGCTTGACGGTCGGGGCCAAGTTTCAAGGACGGCGGGGTGACGGTTGTAGTTTCTTGAGAGGGGGCGCAGGGTGACTTTGTGTCCGGGACGGCAGGGGGACCTATATAGACGATAGCGTACAATAAACGAAAGTTACACGCGCAAACTAAAATGCTGTCTCAAAAAAAAAAAAAGGCGGCACGGTCACTTGTGTGCATGCAGGCATGCATGAGTCAAACCTGGAAGGAAACAATGTTAAACCTAGAAGTAAAAAGAAATACAATAAATATCAAAACCTGGAAATAAAAGAGAAAGTTGATGGTCCAGTTCCGGCCAGAAACACAGTAGCACTGTTAACAAAACAAAAAAAAGGCGTTTTTTGATTGTTGTTGCTATTCGTCTGTTAGCATTTTAATCGATGCCAGAGTACCGGGGCTTTCATTTATTCCTTGTTTAATAGTGTTAAATCGGTAAATTAGGTAGGATTCACGCTGTTCACGTTCGCGATTTGATTTCAATCCAGATTCTAGGAGTGTCACTGACAATTTATCAAACGAGTGTTTTGGGAGAGCGAGATGTTTGGATAGAGGCAGTGCCGGAAGATTTATGGCGTGAGATTTGTGATTATTAAAGCGCAGTCTAAATGCCGTTCTAGTCTGCCCTATGTATTGCATTTTGCATACAGTACACTCGAATAAGTAAACGATATTCGACGAGGCACATGTTAAGTTCCCTTTAATTTTGATCGAGAACTGCGAGTGCGTGCTGCTGGCCGTGCTTGTGTGCTGCATTTGTTTACAGATCAGACATCCTGGGTGCATGCAAGGCCTACATTCGTTAGGTGGGGGCGATGAATTTATCCGAGAGTTTACTAGCGCGTCTTTGAGGTTACGCGATCGTCTGTGGACTACCCCAGGGGCGGATGGAAACGCGCGTTTAAGGCGCTCGCTTTGATCGAGAATGTTATAATGTCGTCTTAAGACATTATTTACATTAGGATGGTTCATGCTATAAGTTATACATAGATTTGTGCGTTGCGTGTCGCTTTGCGTGGGGCGCGGGCTGATGAGATCTGCGCGGTTCAGTTGCTTTGCTTTTCTGATTGCATCGTCGATTATACGGGGTGGATACTTTTGTTTCTCTAGCACTGACTTTAAATTTTGACTGCTCGCATCAAAATCTGTCTCTTTGGAACAAATTCGTTTGAAACAATGAGCTTGGCTATAGGGGATGCTGTTCTTGCAATGGTGTGGGTGGTCGCTTTGATAATGAAGGTATTGCTGCCGATCTGTTGGCTTACGGTACAGGCTCGTGGCGAGTTTACTTTCGTCTATCTTAACGTTGACGTCTAGGAAGTTTATTTCGGTTTTAGAGTACGAATGTGTAAAGCGGATGCTCGGATGAGCAGCATTGTATCGACCTATAAAGTCAACCAGCTCCTCCTCAGTGTGCGACCATACAATAATTATATCATCTATAAACCTTATGTATATTAGCGGCTTGAAACTAAACATTTGAGAGAAATCTCTCTGGTTGGGGAATACAATAATTAAAATATGGCAACCAACCAATTCCTAAACATGTAGGGGCCCTACGTTTCGAACCGACTCGGTTCTTCGTCAGGGGCGAGTGTGGCCGTTGAGGAGCGACGTTTTTCAATCTTCTTTTTCTTTTCTCAGGGATGTGGCGCATTTCTCGATCTTCTTCTTTCATGAATATGGCGAAGCCCGTTCACATACACTGTTGGTAAAGCACCAAGGCACCTATTTATGTTGCCTGGCGTCGTTTGAATATGCCAGGACTCGACGAAAAGCCTATGTCGGTTGTTAGTCTCTGCGTCGATAATGCTGGTGTTGTCGAAGTCAATCCGGTGGTCTTTGACTTCGCAGTGCTCGGCGACTGCGCTGCGCTCGTGGTCGAGCTTGCGAACGTCGTTTTTGTGTTGGCGTATTCTCTCATTAAAATTCTTTGTCTCGCCGATGTAAGTGGCTGGACAATCTGCACAAGGGATCTTATAAACCACGCCCTGCGTTTTTTCTTTCGGAGGGCGATCTTTTGGACGGGGCATGAGTAATCCAAGCGTGGACATCGGCTTGTGGGCTACGCGGATTCCTTCTTTGGCTAGCACGCGCGCAAGCGCCTCGCTTGTTCCTCTGATGTAGGGTACGCAGATGCGCGAGGTTGGGCGTGGCTGCGTACAGGCTTGTGGTTGCTGTTGTCTTTGACCTCGAGCTTGACGACGGTCAACGCGTTGGATGAAGGTGCTCGTGTATCCGTTCATTTTCAGATCAGCACGGACGGTTTTTTCTTCCTTTCTTCTGTCATCCTCAGAGGAGCATATAGCCTTCGTCCTAGACAGCAGTGTCCTAACCACCGATGCTTTGTGGCAGGCTGGGTGATAGGAATCAAACTGAAGATAACGTCCAGTGTGCGTGGGCTTCCTGTAGACTGAAAACTTCAAATTTTCTTTTTCTCTTCTCACGAGCACGTCCAAAAAAGGCAATGAATTGTCTTTTTCAAGTTCCGCTGTAAATTGGATAGCCGGTTCGCTGGAGTTGAGGTGTGAGAGGAATCTGTCCACTTCAGATCTTTGAAGGATGCAGAAGCAGTCGTCCACATACCGCACAAATATTTTGGGCGCAGTGGCGAATGACTGCAGGGCCTCTTCCTCAATGGCTTCCATGCCCAGGTTAGCCGTGGTAACGGAGACAGATGCGCCCATGGCGGTTCCGCTGGCTTGTTTAAAATACTCTCCCTTGACGCTAAAGTAGGTGTTGCTGAGGCAGAACTCAAGGAGGCGGCACAGTTCCTCCACACTAAGGACGGTCCTGTTGTGCAGGTCTTTGTCTTTTTCGAGAGCCTTCCTGGCAGCTGTAACTGCCAGGGGAACCGGCACACTTGTGAAAAGTGAGATGACGTCAAAAGAGACTAGGCCTTCCTCAACGCTCACCTTCAATTTCGAGATGCGCTCCACGAAGTCGCTGGAGTTGCTGATATAAGTCGTCGTTTTTCCGACGAGAGGAGAGAGGGTGTGGTGAAGATAGTTCGACACGGCTCGAAGTGGTGAGGTTCTAAAGTCCACAATGGGCCGGAGAGCAAGGCTAGGCTGCGCTCGACCACGAGCGCAGCGCAGTCGCCGAGCACTGCGAAGTCAAAGACCACCGGATTGACTTCGACAACACCAGCATTATCGACGCAGAGACTAACAACCGACATAGGCTTTTCGTCGAGTCCTGGCATATTCAAACGACGCCAGGCAACATAAATAGGTGCCTTGGTGCTTTACCAACAGTGTATGTGAACGGGCTTCGCCATATTCATGAAAGAAGAAGATCGAGAAATGCGCCACATCCCTGAGAAAAGAAAAAGAAGATTGAAAAACGTCGCTCCTCAACGGCCACAGTCGCCCCTGACGAAGAACCGAGTCGGTTCAAAACGTAGGGCCCCTACATGTTTAGGAATTGGTTGGTTGCCATATTTTAATTATTATATTAGCGGCTTTACGGGACATTCAGAAAGGAACTGATATTCTAATTTTCCCATGAATACGTTGGCATAGTTCGGGGCCATTTTGGTGACCATCGCGGTTCCGCTAACCTGCCTAAAGTAAATACTTTAGGCAGGTTAGCGGTTCCGCTAACCTGCCTAATGTAATGCCTAATGACGAAAAGAACTGAAGTTCTTTTCGTCTGCTCTCTCTCTCTCTCTATATATATATATACATTTATATATAAAACTAAGAAGAAAAAAAACCTTAGTGAAACAGCAACAACGCACGATTTAATCTTCGACGTTTCGGCCGGAGTCCGGCCTTCCTGACGAAGGCCGGTCTCCGGCCGAAACTTCGAAGATTAAATCGTCCGTTTTGCTGTTTTCACTAAGGTTTTTTTTTTTCTTAGTTTTATACCCACGCCTTCGGCCTCCCGCCACCATGCCCGTTATATATATATATATATATATATATATATATATATATATATATATATATATATATATATATATATATATATATATATATATATATATATATATATATATATATAGGCATGTTGGCTTGGAGGCCGAAGGCGTAGAAGACAGAGATGCAGGGTGACGGTAGAAAACAAACCAGGAGGATTATATTCGACCTTTTTACCTGAGGCAGCTCTTCGTCCGGAATGACGAAGACCTGCCTCAGGTCGAAACGTCCAATAAAATCCTCCTGGTTTGTTTTCTACGGTCATCCTGCATCTCTCTCTCTTTCTCTCTCTCTCCTCATATATATATATCTATATATGGGTGGTTTAATTTGAAATCGAATAGGCTTGTCGGAGTAGGTTTTTCAAGTTTTTTTAAAAATATATGTAATTGCCCCATTTCTGGAAAGAACAAAACCGCTTTTCAAGATTTTTTAAAAAAATATTTCGCTTCATAAAAAATTATTGAGTGGAGCAGGGTGAAAATCTGGTTTTTACTCCGTGATTTTTCTGCCCAGTTCTGTACGCTGGTATGAATACGGGAAGTATGCAAAACTCAGTAATTTTTGTGTTATTTGGACTATTTTTTAGTTCAAAGGAAAATACTTTTGTAGTTTTGTTTATTGAGATAAAGAATGCCAAACATCGTCTCTTTGACAATCCGGTGACATCTTCAGATCATTGTAACTCATGAGTTATTACATTTGCACTTATTAAATACTATGCGGGTGTAGCCCTATACATGGACTATCGACGGGCATAAGCTTTGTTTATTTTCTTTTCACGGAATTTTTTATATAAAATTTGAAATATCGTCGAAAATGAAATTAACCGATATTTTGAACTCACTTTATCAAAAAAGGGCATTTTTTATTTCGTTCAATTTTTTTATTATTGCTGCTGATCATATGAGCTTTCAATTGGCTTGATGCGATTTCCCCCTTTTTTGTTGTATCTTCTCTAGAAGTGATCGAAATAGCTCCCATGTGACAATGCGGTGACACTTTCAGAGCGTTGTAACCCGTGAGGTATTATATTTCGATTTCGATCACTTCTAGAGAAGATACAACAAAAAAAAAAAAGGGGGGGGGAAATCTCATCAAGCCAATTGAAAGTTCATATGATCGGCAGCAATAATAAAAAAATTGAACGAAATAAAAAATAGCCTTTTTTGATAAAGTGAGTTCAAAATATCGGTTAATTTTATTTTCGACGATATTTCAAATTTTATATAAAAAATTCCGTGAAAAGAAAATAAACGAAACTTTTTCCTGTCGATATCCCGTGTATAAGGCTACACCCGCATAGTATTTAATAAGTGAAAAATATAATAACTTATGAGTTACAATGCTCTGAAGATGTCACCGGATCGTCAAAGAGACGATGTTTGGCATTTTTTACCTCAATAAACAAAACTACAAAGGTATTTTTCTTTTTAACTAAAAAATAGTCCAAATAACACAAAACATTATTGTGAGTTTTGTATGCTTCCCGTATTCATACCAGCGTACAGAACTGGGTAGAAAAATCACGGAGTAAAAAACAGATTTTCACCCTGCTGCACTTAATAATTTGTTGTGAAGCGTAATTATTTTTTTAATTGGAAAGCGGTTTTGTTTTTCTTAGAAATGGGGCAATTAAATATATTTTTAAAAAAATCAAGAGAACCACCCCGACAAGCGTGTTCGATTTCAAATTAAACCACCCATATATATATATATATATATATATATATATATATATATATATATATATATATATATATATATATATATATATATATATATATATATATATATATATATATATATATATATATACATATATATATATATTTATATATTATTTTTTTTTGGTGGCGGGGGAGATATAACTAGTTGTATTGCTGGAGCACACAGCCAGTCTGAACGCATGAAAAGTGTTTTGATGATTAATCATTTATTGCACTTGCTTGTGGTTAACTATACACGCTCCATATGTTCTAAACTGCATGCTGTTGGCTGGTTGGCAGATTTTGTAACAAGTGTTATACTCTAAAACGCTAAATAAAATAAAGAAGCAGTACTTCTTCGTAAACCTGCGAACTTGCGATTTTAGACGTTAAGATATCTTTGAAAATAGACCAAACTTCCATTTGTCCTGATAATCGTTTATGGTGTCGCGCCGTCCCCATGTACATATTAGGATGATTCATAAAAAAAAAAATCACCGACGGATTTAACCATAGACTCAGTCGTGAGCGAAGTTCTCTTGCTATAAATATCAGCAACTACAGCCTGCGCTGAATGTGTATTGCACTTGTAGAATTTTGAATGAAGCTATTATGCAGATAAAATATTGATGACAAACTTTAGTTACAAGTCCCAATATTTCACCGATATCGAGAGAAAAAAAACACCAACTAAGTTTGTGGAAATCGCATTCCCAGCAAAAGGCCAAAATAAATATTGCACCTCACACTGCCCGGAGGTACGTAAAGTGGGCACAGGAGACCTAAATATAAACTAGTTCCAAAGAGCGCCGGTAAGAGTGGTATACTGCCAAAAGAAGATAAGGCGGGAGGGGGCGGGGGAGGATTTTTCGCACTGAAGCAAGGTTGGAACTAATTTCCTCGCAAGCTATCATGATAGCAATATGTTTATTTGGTTTTCGTTTCTTTTTGTTTTACCTGCTCTCGCGGAATCCATATTGTACGAGCTAAAAGCGACGCACGAAAAAAATAAAGGGCGAAGTATCTTCTTGATTCAGCATCAAAACTAACCATTGGCCTATCACGCCGAGCAGTTTCAGTAGTTAACCACGAGAGCGCGGCAACACCAGTCTCGCGTGAAATCGCAACGACCCGCTCCAACCTTGTGTCTAACGGCTTGTCTCGGCACGAGGCTCCTGGAAGAATTATTACTAACGCTACAGATTTTGTTAATGCCGATTATCATACTGGATCTCGTCGTTTAAATAAACCTCCTTAGAGCCCCACGCGCTTGCATTTAAGACGATTTCCTATTACTAGGCTCAATGTTCTGGGTTCTTCCCCAAGAAACAAGCAGCCCAGGGGTTGAGTTTAGTGTAGCCCTGTTCCGGGTTTACACACAATGAAACTGTAGATAAATGGTTCCTTCCCATAAACCTGGGTTCTTTCTTAACCAATGACATCTCACTTGTTTTCCTATGACTTATTTTTTTTTTGAAACCGTCTCGGTAACTGATTTTCGGGTTTTGGTGTTATCTGCATTCACCAAAAACAGCGAACCCTACTCATTACATTCCTTAGCTATAAACTCTAAAATTCATTCAAATATTTATTTACCAATAAGATCTTGCCAACCTAGTTAGTCCGCTTCTATTCGGCTGTATTCAGATCACATTTGACTAATTTAGCAATCGTCTGGGTGGCAATTTGTTTGTGTGTCAGAATAAAATATATTTTATCTGCTGAAGAGAAATAGCGCAAAAATACAAATTGGTTTGTGTCATGAAGATAAGAGAGGTCGGTGTTCCTCAGAACCAAGAGTACAAATTTTGGTTAGCCAAGCATAATAAACCATAATTAAAATATTGGTCGAAATTGCGCCATGCAGCTACTGTGAAAATTCAGAGCAGTGAGTAAGTTATACAGTATTTTTTAATTCAATTACATTCTTAAAATATGATAATTGACTGTATAATCAGCGCGTTTAGAAATATTTGGTCATAACCCTTTAATTTACTTCAATTTCCAACAGGTGGAAGCTCGCCAAAAAAAATGGTTCAGATGTTAACGAGCGTGTAAAAGGTTAGTGAGTTCAGTTATTGACTTTCTGAGCACTCCGTCACAAAACAATCAAGTGCACATATTGATAAATGGACTCACATCTAAAGAAAAACATGTTTACTTGTCAATCGTCCTTCTGTGGTGAAGATGTCCCTGAATATTCACTTTCTTGAAAGACAACACGTGGCATAAACCACGCAATTATGACGCTTAGCGCTAAACTGACACGTGAAAACCAAAGGCTATGATTGCTGATCTGACCTATCTAGGGGCGATAACGTGAATTACCTGACCTATCTAGGGGCGATACAGGAATTATTTTTTTGCGGAAACCTCTAATGCCAGAAATAAAGATCTCCGGATATTTCCTGCTAAATTTATATAAAAAAATAATACAATCGACGCAACGACCTATAGGACACTTTAGTTTACCTGCTAAATTTAGATGGCAAACTCACCCCATGTGACCATTTCTCACGTGAGCTATATACCTTAAGTCACGTGACCCTGCTGACACTTCTCATCTCCTCTTCTTTCCTCCCTTCTACAGTGCCCTCTTACGGAGTGAGCGACATGAGAATGTCCCATCCCATCAACCCAATAAAGTGCTATTGCATCTTTATTTAATTTTACGGAATGTCCAAGTCAGTTTGTAGGAGTTCCCTTGCTACTATCCATCTCACAGAAAGACACAACTCACCGGTTTAACGACACGCAGAAATTTATTGACCGCTATCTCCAGCGCCTCGATCTCAAGAGCCCCCCCGCATACGCCTGGACGGCCCTTCGTCAGCAGTGGACCGCCACTCGCGTGGCCAATGCGCTTGGACCGTAGTAAAGTTGACATTTGGGTTAGTTGGCAGTCTAACAGATTGAGGCATTTAGCGCACAAAGTAGACAAAAAAAGAACAGGACGGAAAATAGCCCCACTCACAACACTAGGTTTACTTGAGAGGGAACGATAGGAAAAGAAGACGACAGAATGATCCCCCGCGGACACCCGCACCTACGACCAACACCGTGAATGATAGTGGCTCGTTCATCTAGGATCGTGGGGGCCCTTCGTTGTCTGTTGAAGTAATTCTTTTTCCTCGTGGACAGCGTCACGGATTCTACACTTTTACAGCTCCTGTCCTCAGAAAAAACGTGGAAGGCCACCAGCACCTCGCGGGTCAATTTGTCGATGTTCCTCCCCGAGATGTTTGCCTCACCGAATGATTGTGTGCATGTGCACTCCATACAATGAATTGGAAGATGTCCCCCCAGTGTAGCCTTCAAGGAGCAATCATGCTCACGGAGTCAATCATTGAGGCATCTGCTCGCTTCGTCTATGTAGCTCTTGCCACTCAAAAGTGGGATCAATTCTCAACTGCATGCAGTATTGATGTGGATAAACTATTTTATTCCTCGCCCTATGACAAGCTACTGACACCGGTGATAATATGTACAGAAGCCAATGCAGAGCTCGCATTCCCAAGTTCCAGCGGGGTACCCAGCGAGAGCTTTGTGGAGCTCTTACATTCCTACCTGATGTCTATGATAGTTGGGTGGCGGGATTGGTGCTATCTGCAGAAGTCATAAGCATCTATCGGTTCCTGCATCGCACCAGATATTAGTGACCGCTATCTCCAGACCGCTATCTCCATGGGGGCAGTGGACTGTGCCATAGAAAGTGCGTTTTAAAGCAAAAAGTGAACTTGGTCGCGCGCTATGTTGATGACTTTCAGGTAATTCTTGAAGATGGCGAACGTATGGCCATACAAGTGGGAGGTATTATGGCGACATTTGCTCAGAACGGAGGGGGGCTTCGGTCCACCTTCGAGGTACCCAAAGAAAGGGTACTTCAGTTCCTGGACCATTCCCTCTAATTAGATGTCACTCAAGCTTGTTGGTCGTACGGCCCACGACCCAAGAAAGGTTTCCTAGACTATGGTCTGGCCCACTCACAATACATCAGGGGGGGGGAGCATATTTCTAAAGGCTTTGCATTACAAAGGTCCTGCATTCATTATATGGCAGCCAGCTTCAGTTGGCAAGCCAAGAGGCTAACAAAAGCCGTCCATTCGTCTGCCCTAAATGCTGATGTTGCAAACGCTCTGGTGAAGAAAACAAAAAAACTTCCAGATGAATCAGACCAGTGTTAAGAAAACAAGGTCAGTGGTAATACCGTACCTGCATAGGATGTCCCACAATATAAGAAAAACGTTGCAAGCAGCTATGAAGTCAGAGTAGTTTTTTTACCACATCCGCGAGAAGGGCTCCAGCAGGTGCTGGAGATGCTTCTTCTGAGAGCTGCTACCGGTACACTTATCCACCGCCTTGTTGACATTGTTAGGGAGAAGAAGCAACTGTCCGCAAACTTCAACGGAATTGCGTCCGAAGGAATGCAGCCCTCTCGTCAGGTAAATGTCTTTAGGACAGTCTTGTTTCCTTACGGATAGGCAGTTCTGGCAAAGTCTAATGTTATGCACTCCGCCGCGACGAAATCTCGACCGTGGATCATGGGTACTGATAATTCCGACATATACACAAACCGTTGCCTGCGTTTCTTGCTGTGGAAAGAGATTCGCAATCTCACGGCACATGCAGCAGGTGGTACAATTACCGACGCTACCTGCAAGTGTACACCTACTGTCTAGAGCAAGTTCTTTGTTTTCTTTTGCAAACCTCGAATATTGAATCTCCAGTAAGTGATATTTTAGCACGAGTGTTGAGGAGTGCAGCGATCAGAGCGCCGAGCACAGTAACTGTCATACGTGGCTCCACTGGCTTAGTAGTGGATTCGGTTCAACGTACCGCGGGGACGAGTATTACCGATTTTCTTGGCTCGGGTGTCGTTGCAGGCGGGGCCCGGGGGGCGCTGGCAAGAGACCCTAGGCGATTTGCCTTCTGCGACAGCCATCTTTGATGCTGCGAAGTCAGGACCATCTTTGGTCCCTGAAGTCCTGCCGGGCCGGGCCTCCCCCCCGCCGTTCCACTTGAAGTAAACTGTGTTATAATGAAACGCAGAAACAGATGTGCTGCAGGCATCATTACCGATGCCGCCTCAAAGGACATCCCGCCATCCAACTCAACGACGGACGCGCCGATTACTTCATGACTACGACCTTGCCGGGTGGGTTTCCAAAGACGCAACAGGAGTCTCATAACCATGAGACGGCGGGGCACAGCCTCCGGAAGTGACCACTGAAGCGGTCCACACGGGTATGTTATGACCGGCAGTGACTTGATCAGGTCTACCCAGGAATAACAACGATGGACCCTCCGGGCTTCTCATTACCGTGATTTCGCTTGACCAGTCGAAGTAATAGAATGAATTGTTTAGTGAAGGAGCCTTTAACCTGGCCACATGGTGCAGTACTCAACGTCATAGCAGTCTGTGATAGGAATTTCACGGGCTCTGCATGAGCAGGCCGTCGAAGTACCGGTCGCATCTCGAGTCCTCAACGTAAGTTGTCGAATGTGACCAAATACTACTAGGGGCTTTGAGCACATTTAGTCGTTATTGAATGACGCTCGACATGATGCCGATTGTTGTAAGTCTTTGGACGGAAGCTGAGGAGACTTAGGAAGCGACTGAAACTGTACAAAACACACGGCGAATCAAAACATGGTGGCGTTCTTACCCTGCTGCCTTCAACACAAGAAGATTCTCCTGCGGCATGGTTCTTGTCCACGCTTGCCGACGGTCACCGTATTGAGGAAACTTAAAGACATTGAATTTTTCGGTGTTTTTGTAGTTTCCGCGACATCCCGTGGCGCAATATTTTTTCGACCTGCCGATCCGCCGAATAAACACGCCCGCGCGTACGTTTTAAACAAGGAAGGACAGATGGGTCAGGTGACGGGTGGAGAAAAACGAAGAAACAGGGCCAGCAGCACCGACGGCTGCTCCCGATTTGAAGAGAAACGAATGCGCAGTCAGCGGGTTTGCAGGGCGCCGCGCGCCACCTCCGCCACCACCACCACCGGAGAAAGCCAAGCGCTGGGCGGGGGGACACGCCGACGGGAGCGCCGGTAGCGTCGAAGGCCACTGCCGCCTGCCGCCAGGGTCATGGACAATACCGTCCGACATCTTTGCATCCTTACTCGCAAGCGCTGAGGCCTTCCTATTCTAGACTTCGTTTCGGCTGTGGTCCGAGCGCGGCCGATGTTGCGAGCCGAAGGGCCAATCAAAGAGCGCAAAAAGTGCAGCGTCATGGCGTGCTCTCTGCTCTTGATAGGACTAGCCGGCGGAGGAGCGCGCACAGACACACGGCGAATAGCAGCTGGTCCTATCAACTGCAGAAAGCACGCCATGACGTTTCGCTTTTTGCGCTGTTTGATTGGCTCTTCTGCTCATAACATCGGCCGCGCTCGGACCGAAGCTGAAACGAAGTATAGTAGGTGTTGAGCAGGGCCGGTCACCCCAATACCCGATGAGGAGAGGGGAGAAAGAGTTCCGGGGGGGGGGGGGGGAGGAAACCGATGGCGCCGCCCATTTCTTATTAAGCCTCTGCCGTCTCGCGCTTCATTTGGTGGACTATCTTGTTGCCTTTAAATTTTCTTTGAATCACCAATATTCGGATCCCCTGCGAAGAGGTTCTCACTGCAGCATCTGCCTTTCATGACGAATTGGTTGTTTCGGCTCCTATTGGGGCAGCCGTCTCAATGAAAACATCAGCTCGCGACTGATATTTTTCCCGAATTAGCAGCTTCCTGTGCGGCGTCCGTCCACCGGCCATAGTGGCGACACTCGCTTGCGTGAATTCCTTGGTCGCCGTTTTCTCCGCTGCCGCGGCCGAAAGCATGGTAAGGTCGTCTAGATTTGTTGCCTCCATTTCCTCGTGGTCCATCATCGGTATGTTTGCAGTTGAAATCATGGCCCTTTAATCTTGTTCGTGTAACCTGGCACGCAGTCCTCTTCTGCATGTCCATCCTCACGGCACTCCCGGCACCCGGGTGTCTTATATTGACGGCCTTTGTGTTCCAGCTGCTAACAGCGGAGACAAAGAGGCAGTCAAGCCGCCAAAAAGAAACGA